AGACGCTTTGCTTTTGATTTCCAGTAGGTGGCGTCTAACCCTCTTGGATCCCTGCTTTATATAAAGCCTTATTAATGCTTTTACTTTTCTTGTAGATATTCAATCATGCTAGCTATCCTTAGTTTTAGTTCCTGTCAGTGTTAGCAACAGTTTCAGCAGCATTTGCTCAGATTCCCCTGGGGCTTCGCGGTGTTCCATCTCGGAGGTTATGGGAGAAGGGCCCTTCTGGATTGGGGGATAGGGACTGCGGGTCAGTCTCGGTTTTTCAACCACAGTAGTGTAAATCAGCTGTTGTTTCTCTGCAGTCCACTTCTCTGCTTTCTGCCCTGATGACTGGGCCTTGCTGCCGGCTCATGGAACTCACAACTCTCTCAGGCAGGGCTGTTCAAGGAACATGTCACTATTTCTCCCCACCCTCTCCTTTTACAGGGAGCTCTGGTGGCTGCGAGAGACAGCTTCTTTATTTCTCCCTTTCCACCACCTGACACGTGGGGTTCTGACCTATGGTAGCTCTTATGCGCGGATCCATGCTCAGACATGCTGGTGTGCAGTTTGGGTGTTTTGGGTTGAGTTTTAGATGTTCAGCTTATTGTTGTTTCAAGAGGGGACATCTGGGGACATCCCTCTCTTCACCATGTTATTGAAAAAAATTTCATATACTTCTTATGTATTTCCCAAATAGATAGTTTTCTCCAAATGTTAAGATTAATTAGTATAATAATTATGACCCCACATTTTGTAAGCAAGATGTCTCTTTGGAAAGAGCTCTTCAGTGGAAAATGTTTATTCTCTAATTGCATTGTCATTTGTTTTTACTTACATCAATGATTATTGGGTGACTTGGAGATCTAGTGGGTTGTGGCTTTTTGCGTGAGTACTGAACTCATTCTCTAATAGGAGTAGAGGGCCTCAGAAGTGAACAGAAGGATAAGAGATTCATACTTACACAGAAGCCGATCAGGCAGACCAACTTTCAGAGTGTGAAAGGATTGTTCTGTTATTAGGCCAGACTTATGCTCTATCCCCTTTAATTACTTACTAGATATTTCAGTGGGCCAAGAAGGGTCAATATGTTCTAAAGAGCTAGAAAAAACATTTCCACTTATTGGCAAGATCTTTGACTTGTGTATGTGTGTGTGTATGTGTATGTACGTGTGTGTGTGTGTGTGTTTGATTGTGGGTGTGGTATATCTCAGTGATAAGCTTACATTATTAATTCTCCTGGAAAAAGCAGTGGTTCCTTGGAGATGAAAATCTTTGAATGATTACTTAAGTGAACCGCAGGGTTCTATGCCTGTGGCAGATTGCCAATAGTCAACTTGGAATTACCATTGCTCC